ATTGTCTTGTCTGGAGGCAGATCTTGAGATTAACATTGTTTTAAATACTTGGATAAAAGGTTAAAAATTATTTCATAATCGTATTATATGCAATGCAATTAAGATATTTCGTATGTGTGCTCGTCGAGTGAAAATTTAGTTCTGGAGTTATTTGTATAATCATATCCAATTTTGCTGGTGCTTTAGCTCAGTTTTGGCCGTTTTGGCTCGGCGTGTTTGTTCATGCATGCAGTGTGGTAAGTTGTTACCACTCGGACCTTACCTCCGCCCGGAAAAACGTAAACGTAGACAAACAATGCTTAAGGCCGTAAAGAAAACGACCGAGGTAAACAAATCGAAATTAAAAGTTACGGCCAGCAATGTCAACGAGAACAACAGCAACAACAACAACAACAACAATAATAGTAAAGACAACGACAGCAACACCTCTGAACTGGCCATAAAACGCGGCTCCATCTCTGGCCAAAAGCCAGAAGGCAGCCCAAATGACAGTCCCCCCCTAAAGAAACTCAGCCTGAAGGGCAACCAACTCTGTGGCAGCATTTTAATAGGCAACTACAACGTAAGCAAAGATCATGCCACATATAAAGATGTTTCATCTGTTAATTAACTCTGATTTTACAGTACCTAACACAATTGGAGGTGTGCGAGAACGAAATGGAAGTCTTGGATCTGAGCACCTTGGCACAATTGGAAACATTGAAATGCAGTCGAAACAAGCTAATTGAGCTAATTATAAATGGCACCAATCTGCAGACACTTATAGCGGATCATAACTGTATGTATCGGAGGTTCTGGTTGGTTTAATGCAAGTGGAGTTGAAAATGTTGAAGAATTTTTAAACTTGGTTAATGTTAAAAACATGCAAAAACTCCAACTGCATTTGGCCCCATAGTTTCTGTGTATATCTTGCTAATTGCTTGTTCTACTTTAAAGGTCTGCAGAGCATCTCCATATCGAAGTCGGTGCCATTGAAGCTGCTGCATCTGGACATCTCGCACAATTACCTAAGCGCTTTGCCCCAGTGGATTGGTGGCTGTGTGGCTTTGGACACACTCATCGCTACGCACAATCACTTGAGCCACATTAGGGAACTGTTGAGAAATTATCGCATCAGCTGCCTGCGTACGCTGAACCTTTCGTACAATTCGCTGCAGCAGCTCGACTATCTGCCGGATGCTTTTTGCAGCGTGACGCAGTTGCAGCTGCAGAGCAACGAGCTGCAGCGCCTGCCGGACAACTTTTTTGCCGTAACCCATGCGCAGCTGAGCCAACTGAATGCCTCCTGCAATCGGCTAGGCCAATTGCCGCGCTACGAGCAGAACAATAATGCGGCGCTGGAGGAGCTCAGCCTGACGGCAAATCAGCTGAACGACAACATATTCGAGCCACTGTTACATGCGAGCCGGCTGAAAGTGCTGCGCCTAGCTCACAATCGCCTGGGCGTGCTTCCCGCGGAGTGTGTGCGCAACTGGCCGGAGCTGGAGGTATTGGTGCTATCTGGCAATATGCTGCAACAGCTGCCGGATCAGGTAGCCAGTCTGAGCCAGCTTCGGGTGCTGCGCTGCTGCAACAATCTGCTACTCAGCACGCCGCAGCTGGCAAAGCTGAGCAGGCTAAAGATACTGGACTTGGCGCATAATCATTTGGATCGCATTAATCTGCTGTCGCTGGTGCCTGCGCGCAATCTCAAGTACTTGGATCTGTCTGGCAATTTGCAGCTGCAGGTGGATGAGCAGCAGCTAAAGGTCTGCAAGACGCAAAGCCAGCGCGTCTGGAGCTTAGTCGATGTATCCGGCAATAATCGCGCCGAATTGCCCACCAGCACGCGACGCCTACCGTCAGAGTTTAACAAATCTGTGCACAAAGCCAAAACGCTGCCCTGGACCCTGGGCTTTGCCGAGACACCTGGTGAACTGCGCAAGCTGCTTGTCAGTCAGCTGCGTGTGAGTCAGCTTAATGGATGTGCAGATGAAGCGCTCTTGGGCATGTTTGAGTCGCAGAACGATGCTCGCCAGGCACAGCAAATGGCTCAACTGGTGCCCGGCCTGTTGAGGCAGGAGCAAACGCTAAAGGAGTCGCCGCTGAATGACTACATGAAGTACACACTGCTCTCGGCGCAGCGGCAATGCGGCGTTTGCCTGCGCAGCGCTACGCTCTTGCACCTGCTCCGGCAACCTTCCAAGGTGCGCGCCCTCAAGTCCAAGCGCTATGTGCTGCGACTAGCCCATCTGGGCCATTTCGAAGCGTATCTGGTGCGACGCACCACCCACCTGCGATTGACCGAGTCTGTAGCACACTGCGATGACCATAAACGTCTCACAGCTACACATACACTGCCAGATCCTGAACTGCTGGAGGTAAGTGCCAAAAAGTTTCTATTTTAAATGCCGATAACCCCTTCACGGGTTGCACTTAGCATGCTTACACATTTATTAGTGATGTGATCTATTAGTTTTATCATTGTCTATAAGAAAATCACACTGGTATTTGTTTGAAAAATGTTTTAAATGTGACTTATATCACGTCGATATAGCCATGTTAGTTTGTCCGATTTTCCGTTTCTATGGTAACTATAGAAAACCTCAGTCATTGTGAATCCTCATTAACGCTTGCATAGATTTGTCTTGGATGGCAGACAGAACCTATACAGCAGAAGCAAGAACATATATTTAAGATATCTTTCAACAACTCGCCGATGAGTAGCATCACAATTCTTCTCACATTCTTCTCACGGCATGCAAAAGATATTCGTCCCTGATTAAATTAATTAAGAAATGGTCGGGCTCATTATTTTGATGACTCGAACCAGTTTTTGGAAAAATGCGAAAAAGTGTCTACGAGTGTCTGCACATGAGCCAAAACTTGCTTCGAATTATCTCAGACTCCCGAATAGGACATTTCAGGCTGCTGGAATTAAAAATTGTGGAGGATGAAACGCAAAATCTGCTTTGAGAGCAAGGAAAATTTGGAGCACATTCTGGACATCCCCGTTCCAGCCTGTAATTTTCTCAGTTGGAGGATTATACCCTTGATATTTAAAAAATAGGTGGAGCCCTGATGCCAGGAAATGTTATTGCATTTTGGCATATGAAAGGATTGTATAAAAATCCTATAAACCAGATTTTCCCCATATACACAGATAGTCGCACTGCACTTGACTTACGCACTCTTGAAATGCTTATTGTTTTTACAATTAAAACATCTTAAACATCATGCAGATAACACTGAGCAACGATGATGAGTACCTGGTGCTGGGCAATGATCAGCTGTGGGCTGTGATGGACATTGGACGTGCCGCACGGGAGATACGTAAGGAGGAGAATGCGCTGCTGGCCGCCAAGCGGTTGCTGGAGATAGCTCAAAGCTTTGGCGCCACAGCGAATCTCAGTGTGATTGTGGTGCGGTTCAGTCACCTGAGCACCGATGTGGATCATTTGATTCGGGAGCTGAAGCAGAGTGTGCGTAAGAAGCCCGCGATAATAAGCCCGCAATCACCGCCGCCCAGCCTGTCCGTGAGCAAGCGCACCTGTTGTGATCGCAGCAATGCGTGCCGGCATCGTAATTTGGAGCAGGAGCTGCTGGCTGGACGCTCTTCGCCCAGCGGTCAGAGCAATCCGGATTTGTTAAGCAAAGATGTGGCCACTGTGGCCAAGGACGAGTTCATATTGGCGCATGCGCGTGTGCTGCAGGAGGAACAGCAGCTGGAAATGTTGGACGAGACGGAGTCGGTATTATCCGAAGAACAATTCAAATGTTGGGAATATATGCTGGAGCAGAACACCCAACTGCTGTTCGACAAGGAGCTGAATACAATATCAAAATCCTTTACCAAGCAGCGACTGCCCACAGCCGGCAACGATTGCAACGATCTGAAGTCGAATCTCATACGCAACGTGACCAACAAGTTCATCTCGAGCAGCACACCCCAGTTGACACAACCGCATCCTCCGTTGGCTGCCTATCAGCAGTTGAAGCAGCAGCTACCCACCGAACATTTTGGCAGCATGCGCTCCTTCCAGCAGTCTCCCAACTATGGCTACAATCTCTTTGATGGCAAGTCACGGGATGTCTATGCCAAGTTGGGCGGTGGACCACATGCCGCTTACTTTGGTTCCTTGCAGCGGCGCATGCCCTCTAATTTTGAGTATGATTTCCCTGTCACGCAGGAGAGAGATCATAATATTTTGGATGAGGAGGAGTTGGACGAGGATGGCTTTACGGAGCATGAGAGTCGCATGCGTAAATATTGGGGCGTTGCAACCACTGAGCTGTAAGCGACGGCGGAAAAACAAATTTTGCATTATATCAACATCTTATCTGCTATAATTGGAGATTATCTTATAAAATATGCAATTCATATTAGGAGAGCCGGATGCACAGTTGAATATAACTAATTAAAGCCTTATTAAATAAAAATTATAGTTATTATAGAAAGTTTATTATCCTTATTATTATCATTACCATTACCAATATATATATCATTATCATTATCATTATCATTATCATTATCATTATCATTATCATTATCATTATCATTATCATTATCATTATCATTATCATTATCATTATCATTATCATTATCATTATCATTATCATTATCATTATCATTATCATTATCATTATCATTATCATTATCATTATCATTATCATTATCATTATAATTATCATTATAATTATAATTATCATTATCATTATCATTATCATTATCATTATCATTATCATTATCATTATCATTATCATTATCATTATCATTATCATTATCACTATCATTATCATTATCATTATCATTATCATTATCATTATCATTATCATTATCATTATCACCATTGTCGTTATTGTCAACGTTATCTTTATAAATATCATTATCATTATCATTATCAATGTAATTATCACAACTATAATTAATATCTTTACTACTAGCGTAACATAGCGTATAAGGGGGAGAGAGCGAAAGAGAAAAATGCCCTCGGTAAAAGAATTATAAAAAGAAACAGAGAGCGGTTGAGATACAGAAAGCAAGCAAGAGCAAAAGTCATTGATATATAATTATGTCGGCTAAGATAGAGAGCTACTTGCAGATTGCCCTTCTATGCGATTTTCAAAAGCTCAAGTAACATCATAGAAAATACAAAAAAAGTAGGAAAATCTACTGTTAAGAAAAGGGGAATTTAAAAAGGTTACTGATTCATCAAAAGGTAAAATAAGCTTTTAGATAGAATGGGACTCCCATCACTCGTTTGAGTGAATTTAATTTTCTCTAGTAAGTCTAATATAATTTGACGGCTATTCGGTGGTTTTTTCTACTGTGCCTTACACGTGGTAAAATTTAAACGAAATTTAAATGGAAAATTTAAATAAATTCTGTGGAATCAATAGGCGTTGTAACAGCAAGCTGGCATAATTTAATAATAATAATAATACATTTAAATTCTATGCTTTTACGTTGATGTGATGAACTTTATCACACGGTCCGCGATTAGTTATCAAAACAATATAATGAACCGGTTTTCTAGCTTAATATGCCAACTTTATCAGTTTAAAAAAGCCAATGCGTCTAGCCGCCGTCTGGCCTAATATTGAACCCGTTTTGCGTGGATAAACGTCAAACGAAAATCGTATAAATTGCTGATGTGCCCATCGCGACCGTGATAGTATTAAAAAGAACTTCGTGCAGTTAATATCCCCAAAAATAAATTAAAATGAGACTCCTGGTATGTTTTGCTTATTGTTGTGGCTTTAAGCATAAAACTGAATATTGTCTTGGTGTGATCCTCAGTTGGTTGCGTTCATTGCGGTAGCCACGATTGCTTCGGCTTCGGCACAGTTTGGTTTTGGAGGAGGCTTTGGTGACGGATTACAGCAGCAACAGCAGCAGCAGCAAGAAGGATTCGGTGGTTTTGGTGGTGGAGAACAACAGCAGCAACAGCAGCAGCAAGAAGGATTTGGAGGTTTTGGCGGCTTTGGTGGTGGAGAACAGCAGCAGGAACAGCAGCAGGAAGGCTTCAACGGCTTTGGTGGCGGTGGACAAGAGCAACAGCAGCAGCAGCAAGAAGGATTCGGAGGCTTTTTTTAGCGCATAGTTTAAAAACAAATCAGTTTTAATACTTTTGAATTGTAGCGCCAATAAACAACTGCTTGCAGGAAATCTGTCAAGCAGTTACTGATGTAATTTATTCGTAACTAAGCAGTGCGCTGCTTGCTTAGCTCAGGTCCTTACATTCGCATTTGGCCCATAGAGGGCAACCAATGCGAAGCAAGAATAATCGTTAAAAATTAAAAAAGTTCAATGGAGTGCCGAATGAGGTCTGATAATACGAAACATGAGAAATATTCCATAAATTTAAAGGTGCAACACTTTTTTTGTATTGATTTATTGATTTTATCTTCAGATAAATTAAGAGTTCTTAATCAAGAATAATTTATTTATTCTGTGATATATTGGAAAATGAATTGCTTTAAAAAGCTTCATGAATCCTTATGTTATTATTGAAAATTACATTAATTGATCTGATTATTCATTGCGGCATCAAACAAGCGCACTCAAAAGTGCCCATTAAAATTGAGAACTTAATTTAACAAACATAAAACACACCCACGCCCACGCACAAGCACATAAGTTTATCCATGTAATAGGTACATGCCTAAGACATTCATTCATATATAGGCAGTGGGACTAAGGCCCCGTATTTGTAAGGTCACTGAGGCGCATAATTCATGTCAATATCAGAACTCATTTACTTGCGGTTGTTTTTAGCGACGCGTTGCGAAAGAAAATTCATCTAAGTGGCAACGACATCAATGGGGCATGTGCGCCGAAGAGGTGGGGGATGATTGTCGGAAGGGAAGGGGAGGAGGGGGGGGGGTGTGAGTTGCCAGAGAGATATTTGCGTGTGGCTTTCTAATCATTTCGAACCGCTCAAGTGTATTACCGTTATAGGCCGCGTTAACAAGGCGAGCATCTGAGATGCGTTGGGCAAATATGAAACTTTTCTGGAAGCACATCCGTTATCCGATCTTAAGTAGTGTATGCCACCGGGAGGCTGGTAATTTTAATTACTTTTTCGGTCTCATTTGTTTCCACTTGTTGCCCATCAGTTAAAACTTAAGTTGAAGTTGAAGTTGAAATGACAATTCCTTTTTTGCCGCACCATTCACCCATTTCCATTCACGATTCGCCCAAAACCATTTTCATTTTGAACATTTTACACTTGAAAGCCTCACATTGATGTCTATCACAATGCCCATTGCAACTTATTGCTGTGGCTACTTTTAATACACTAAATTAACTTTTCGGGCGTTTCACCCATTCCAAATGCCGCCCACAAAACCCACCCGCGATTTGTCAAGCAAGACGCGGATTCTATCTGCCGTTTATCTCGCCAGTGTTGATAAATAGCTTTGTGGTAATTAATTTGGCGTGAATGAAGTGCAGGAAATAGAACAAAAAAAAATCAAGTATACAACATGTATATGCCAGTCTTGGTAAATACAAATAACTTCATTCTCATTGGTGTCAGATCAGATTATTTAAATTTACCTATATCTATATAGAGTGTCAGTAAAGTAGATCATGCATTTCAACTCATGGAACGATGGGAAGGGATATTTAAAGCAGAAGAATTATAAGAACTCCGATTTTCATTATACTTGAAGCTGTAAAATAGTCTATAATTTCTACAGAGGCTTGAGCTCCACGTTAATCTCAAAACATATCAAAACATAAAATGCCAGCCAATATTCATAAATAGGCTGGCAATAATATGAATCATATAAGTATAAAAAAAAATATATCATTTTGCTTCCTCGCTTTAACTCGATGATTAAGCAAATTTTTGTGCCGGACAAATGATTAGCATCCATCGACCCTCTCAGGTTGCTGACATCGCACATGCTGCCCATTAAAGCAGACATAAGTAAAGTTGGCTAAAACAACAAGAAATCTAAACAAACCGAAACGGGTTTACAGTTTGAAGGGGATCTACCCGAGTTTGGCTAAATATTCAACTAGTTTCTCAAAAATAAAATGTGATATAGAAAGACAAATGCTGACCGTAGACAAAATAGTCATAAAGGCAGCCAACAATTGCGCAGATCGTCAAGCAATATGAAATTTCTCGTATGTTTTATAACTGCAAATATCGGAACGTACTTAGAAAAGTCGCAATTTTAGCTGCTCAACTTCGTAGTTCTCATGAGCTTAGCCTGTTCAGCGGCTCAATTTGGATTCTGGAACTCCTTGGGTGGACAGCAGCAGCAGCAGCAGGAAACTGGCTCGGGACAACAGCAGCAACAGCAGGTGGAGAAATTTGAAATAGACAGTCCATTCGGTGGCGGCATCGAATTCATTCAGGAACAACAACAGCAGCAACAACAATCAGCTGGCGGCGGTCAGCAGCAGCAGCAGCAAACGGAGGACGAGCTGCTAATAAGAGGACCCTTTGGCGGCGGCATTGAGCTGGAGCTAGGACAACAGCAACAGCAGCAGCAGCAGCAGCAAAATGGCGGTGGGCAGCAACAACAGCAGCAGCAGCAGGAAAATCTTTTTGAATTTTTTGGATGAATTCCTAATTCTTTCCAAAGAGTGGAACTAATTATGAGCCAGTAATTGAAGGCCACCAAAAAGCCTTGTCAATTACTCAGATGAGCTCTCAGAAACTATTACAAACTAGTTCTTTGATCAGATAAGTCAAGGTAAACAAAAATATTTGGAGAATATTTGTAAACGTGATGTGATGAACTTTATCACACGGTCCGCGATTAGTTATCAAAACAATATAATGAACCGGTTTTCTAGCTTAATATGCCAACTTTATCAGTTTAAAAAAGCCAATGCGTCTAGCCGCCGTCTGGCCTAATATTGAACCCGTTTTGCGTGGATAAACGTCAAACGAAAATCGTATAAATTGCTGATGTGCCCATCGCGACCGTGATAGTATTAAAAAGAACTTCGTGCAGTTAATATCCCCAAAAATAAATTAAAATGAGACTCCTGGTATGTTTTGCTTATTGTTGTGGCTTTAAGCATAAAACTGAATATTGTCTTGGTGTGATCCTCAGTTGGTTGCGTTCATTGCGGTAGCCACGATTGCTTCGGCTTCGGCACAGTTTGGTTTTGGAGGAGGCTTTGGTGACGGATTACAGCAGCAACAGCAGCAGCAGCAAGAAGGATTCGGTGGTTTTGGTGGTGGAGAACAACAGCAGCAACAGCAGCAGCAAGAAGGATTTGGAGGTTTTGGCGGCTTTGGTGGTGGAGAACAGCAGCAGGAACAGCAGCAGGAAGGCTTCAACGGCTTTGGTGGCGGTGGACAAGAGCAACAGCAGCAGCAGCAAGAAGGATTCGGAGGCTTTTTTTAGCGCATAGTTTAAAAACAAATCAGTTTTAATACTTTTGAATTGTAGCGCCAATAAACAACTGCTTGCAGGAAATCTGTCAAGCAGTTACTGATGTAATTTATTCGTAACTAAGCAGTGCGCTGCTTGCTTAGCTCAGGTCCTTACATTCGCATTTGGCCCATAGAGGGCAACCAATGCGAAGCAAGAATAATCGTTAAAAATTAAAAAAGTTCAATGGAGTGCCGAATGAGGTCTGATAATACGAAACATGAGAAATATTCCATAAATTTAAAGGTGCAACACTTTTTTTGTATTGATTTATTGATTTTATCTTCAGATAAATTAAGAGTTCTTAATCAAGAATAATTTATTTATTCTGTGATATATTGGAAAATGAATTGCTTTAAAAAGCTTCATGAATCCTTATGTTATTATTGAAAATTACATTAATTGATCTGATTATTCATTGCGGCATCAAACAAGCGCACTCAAAAGTGCCCATTAAAATTGAGAACTTAATTTAACAAACATAAAACACACCCACGCCCACGCACAAGCACATAAGTTTATCCATGTAATAGGTACATGCCTAAGACATTCATTCATATATAGGCAGTGGGACTAAGGCCCCGTATTTGTAAGGTCACTGAGGCGCATAATTCATGTCAATATCAGAACTCATTTACTTGCGGTTGTTTTTAGCGACGCGTTGCGAAAGAAAATTCATCTAAGTGGCAACGACATCAATGGGGCATGTGCGCCGAAGAGGTGGGGGATGATTGTCGGAAGGGAAGGGGAGGAGGGGGGGGGGGGGTGTGAGTTGCCAGAGAGATATTTGCGTGTGGCTTTCTAATCATTTCGAACCGCTCAAGTGTATTACCGTTATAGGCCGCGTTAACAAGGCGAGCATCTGAGATGCGTTGGGCAAATATGAAACTTTTCTGGAAGCACATCCGTTATCCGATCTTAAGTAGTGTATGCCACCGGGAGGCTGGTAATTTTAATTACTTTTTCGGTCTCATTTGTTTCCACTTGTTGCCCATCAGTTAAAACTTAAGTTGAAGTTGAAGTTGAAATGACAATTCCTTTTTTGCCGCACCATTCACCCATTTCCATTCACGATTCGCCCAAAACCATTTTCATTTTGAACATTTTACACTTGAAAGCCTCACATTGATGTCTATCACAATGCCCATTGCAACTTATTGCTGTGGCTACTTTTAATACACTAAATTAACTTTTCGGGCGTTTCACCCATTCCAAATGCCGCCCACAAAACCCACCCGCGATTTGTCAAGCAAGACGCGGATTCTATCTGCCGTTTATCTCGCCAGTGTTGATAAATAGCTTTGTGGTAATTAATTTGGCGTGAATGAAGTGCAGGAAATAGAACAAAAAAAAATCAAGTATACAACATGTATATGCCAGTCTTGGTAAATACAAATAACTTCATTCTCATTGGTGTCAGATCAGATTATTTAAATTTACCTATATCTATATAGAGTGTCAGTAAAGTAGATCATGCATTTCAACTCATGGAACGATGGGAAGGGATATTTAAAGCAGAAGAATTATAAGAACTCCGATTTTCATTATACTTGAAGCTGTAAAATAGTCTATAATTTCTACAGAGGCTTGAGCTCCACGTTAATCTCAAAACATATCAAAACATAAAATGCCAGCCAATATTCATAAATAGGCTGGCAATAATATGAATCATATAAGTATAAAAAAAAATATATCATTTTGCTTCCTCGCTTTAACTCGATGATTAAGCAAATTTTTGTGCCGGACAAATGATTAGCATCCATCGACCCTCTCAGGTTGCTGACATCGCACATGCTGCCCATTAAAGCAGACATAAGTAAAGTTGGCTAAAACAACAAGAAATCTAAACAAACCGAAACGGGTTTACAGTTTGAAGGGGATCTACCCGAGTTTGGCTAAATATTCAACTAGTTTCTCAAAAATAAAATGTGATATAGAAAGACAAATGCTGACCGTAGACAAAATAGTCATAAAGGCAGCCAACAATTGCGCAGATCGTCAAGCAATATGAAATTTCTCGTATGTTTTATAACTGCAAATATCGGAACGTACTTAGAAAAGTCGCAATTTTAGCTGCTCAACTTCGTAGTTCTCATGAGCTTAGCCTGTTCAGCGGCTCAATTTGGATTCTGGAACTCCTTGGGTGGACAGCAGCAGCAGCAGCAGGAAACTGGCTCGGGACAACAGCAGCAACAGCAGGTGGAGAAATTTGAAATAGACAGTCCATTCGGTGGCGGCATCGAATTCATTCAGGAACAACAACAGCAGCAACAACAATCAGCTGGCGGCGGTCAGCAGCAGCAGCAGCAAACGGAGGACGAGCTGCTAATAAGAGGACCCTTTGGCGGCGGCATTGAGCTGGAGCTAGGACAACAGCAACAGCAGCAGCAGCAGCAGCAAAATGGCGGTGGGCAGCAACAACAGCAGCAGCAGCAGGAAAATCTTTTTGAATTTTTTGGATGAATTCCTAATTCTTTCCAAAGAGTGGAACTAATTATGAGCCAGTAATTGAAGGCCACCAAAAAGCCTTGTCAATTACTCAGATGAGCTCTCAGAAACTATTACAAACTAGTTCTTTGATCAGATAAGTCAAGGTAAACAAAAATATTTGGAGAATATTTGTAAACGTGAAAGAACTAAAAAAAGATATATATAAATTAATTTATTAATGAGTTCCGTAAAAAAAATAATATGCGCTCATGCAAAAGAAAATCCGAAAGAGAATATCATAAATTTGGAACCTGGAAATTTAGACAAAATTGAATTGGAACTTTTCTTAAAGTTAATGTATTTTAATTTTTAATTTTAATTTTAAGCCCAATAAGGCTTCACATGGAAAGCAGACCTTTTTAATATTTTACCATCATTTTATGAGCTAAACTGAGCTCTTCTGCTGCTGACCAGATAATTTAACTGAGTGAACCTAATCCAACTACATTTTACTCATAATTCAATTCCGTTGCTAAATCTGTTAATAAGCTACCTTTAGAGGCAACTATAGATCCGACTCGGTTGGAAACGGATGCGGCAATGCTAAGGCAACCTATCAACACGTCCTGCTACCGCTCAGACACCTCCAAAACTTTTCTCATTATATGATTCCGCACACATACATCCATAGAAGTTACCTGCTGCCAGCTTCCTGCCAGAATCGCAGTGCTCTCCTCCTGCCCCTGCTGCTGCCCCAGCTGCTGCTCCTGCTGCCACAATGCCAGCTGAACGCATCGGCGCTTTCAATGACTTCCGTCAGCGCCGACACACTCGACGTGTAAATTTGCATTTGCTTCTAATTACGTAGAACACCCAGGTGTGAGCAGAAGCTGGAGGTAGAAACTGTTCGAAGGCCGAGTTGCTGCCACGCCCTGGAGCCTAAGAACGCCCGCATTAGGAGCAGCAGACGCTTGCGGCAATTGCAATTTAGAATTTCAATTATATTTATATTTTTTATGAGGGCTTGCCAACTCCTCATCAGCCCCCTCCCATTCGCACACTTAGAACACACGGAAACACTACAAATCAAGTGCCACGCACGCAAATTTCCTTTAATTAAAATGAAACTTTTAAGAGTTTCGCCTGCGGCTCTTCTTCAGCCTTGCCCGAATGGCAGCTGCATCCGTATGCGTATCAGATCTGCATCTGCATCTGCATTTGGTAAGCACCGGAAAATTGCTTGGCTTCAACTTAGGAACTTAAGGTTAGGCGATGTCATCTGCCAGTTGTAGTATTTGTTGCCAGGCCAAGTGCACATAACTTGACGCCAACTTTGCCAAGAGTCTTTCGCACGGTAAAGTCAAAAAATAATGATGCCTGCACAAGGTGTGAAAACTTTCATTTTAATAGAGACCCAACTCTTGACTAGTTTTTTTTTTTTTTTAATTTAAAACTCTGGATCTTGTTGCGAAAAGGTTCCGAACCGAATCGGCTTTAGTTCATTTCCGAAAAGAAAAAGAAATTGTACTAAAAATGGGAATACCAGGACAAGGTCCAGTCAATATTTATAAGATTGCCCTGATAACGTTGAAATGGAAGATACAAGTTTTGTTGAACGCTATCTGAGGACATGTTTACATCTCGGATTTCTTAAACTGAAAAGAAAGATTCAAGTAGGCGGTGAAAATTGTGAAATTATCTTATTAAAATAATTGTTGAACCACTTGACGTACTACATTTTATACAACACTTGCATTCTGCAAACCCCAAACAAAACGTACATTTTTGGGAAAATCCAAGATAAACTTCTTATAGAAGAATAAGAGAAACGCGTTAACTTGAGAGTTCGTTGCAAGTTCGTAAGCCAACAAAATACCCGTAGGCAAATGTCCTGGATGGGAGTACGCGGCTATCTATTGTGCGGCGATATTTGAGTAGTTGATCAGGATATCATTGGATTGATTGCCATTCGCAGAGTTAACGTTTGGAGCACAAAATCTAGGCACAACACTCGGATAACAGACTCAACCAGCTTAGCTGCAAACGGTTTGTTACGAAACAATTTTTGTTTTATTTGCCAATCATAAATTGGTTTTGTCATACATACACAGACGCTGCTATATGGAATTGTTAGCGATTGGCGACAAGATCAATATAAGACGATCCGACGGATGCATACAGTCCGCGAGAGTCGGATTGAAGAGTATCGAGCGACAGATTGTGACCGTTGAATGGACACAGGGCAGCAAGGTTAAAGGTAAGGAAATACCCTGGGGCTCTGTATTGGAGCTGAATCCGTCATTAGCAAAGGTCAAACAGAAATTGCCGTTGGAAAAAAAGTTAGAGCAGCAGCCAAAAATGGAATCAAAACCGCACAATCTATCCGGCTACAATATGTATCGCAAGAAGGCCACAAACAGTCCATATAAGAAACGCCTGCGCGCCGGCAATCGCTGCGATGGGGGCGCCAATTCGCCGGCCGTTATAAAGCCATTGAAGCCGCCAATTCATGCCGTTTTGGGCGTTGTCAATCCGGCAATTAATACGGAACTGACGGCGGTCAAGGGCACATCGAGCACTTCGAGCGTTCGTCGCTGCTCGAGCGTTGTCCGCGAGGTGGAACGATTGAAGGAACAGCGGGAACGTCGACGCGCCATGCAGGCCGAGCAGCGGAAGGAGCAGTGCGCCCTGAAAAGTAAAGACCCGGGTAATCCCAACTGGGAGGTGGCCCTAATGGTGCGCAATTATCGTGATCAGCTGCAGCTTAATCCGTTGCGCTACTTGAGTCCGCGCGGTGCTCGCGTCCAGCAGATCACCGTCTGCGTGC